ATACATACATACATACATACAAAAAGGAGTCCACCCTTTGAAGCTTATATGCAGTCGTTTCATTGTAACCGAGTGCCGAGTGGACGTGGGTGGAAAACCGAAGCCATGCGCTGCAGAGTGGGGATGTCGGAGAAGGGCGGGAAAGCTTAGGCTCAGGGGCTGGATAATCTGTATACAGATACCCCTACCATGGTTAAAAGGTCAATTTTTTGGGCTGATTACGAAAGACATGCAAGTGTTTGCAGGTGTCTCCTCATTTCCACCGTGAGAAGCGCCCAGAGAAGGTCCCAAAGACCACCATGACCTTAGCTTTTGATGAGGAGGGCGAGGAGATGCAAGTTGATGCTGAGCCGGACCTAGGGCACAAGATGTTAACCCCATTCATCATCAAGGCCACTGTGACTTTGGTCAACCACCACAAAGTGGTGCTGACCAATCCGGAGAAGCATGCCCAGTCGACCTTGTCTGAAGCCGTGGATCACATGACGGACGTCCTGCGCCACTCCTTGCGAGAGGAGAAGAATCGCATGATCGCCGCCAAGCGGAAGGAAAAGGAGCAGGCCCTCCCCGACGACATGGACGGAATGTTGGACGATGACTTCAACTTGGCTATGTCAAACGCCCTAGCCGAGGCCAGTCCTGAGGAGGAAGCGATGATAGAGGCACTCTATGAGCGCATTGAGGGTTCACGAGGCCTGGAGGCCTAAATGAGGCAAAATGCACGCAACCCAGGCTCCTTGCTTTCAGTGTTTCCATGCAGGGTCTGGCAGTGTTTCTATTGGGTTGCAGTGGGTCAGTCCCAAAACAGCATGGCTCGGAGTGATACATGCCATTCCTCCAGTGGTTTTATTTTGCATGTGCGACCCAGCGACCCATACTTTTTGAAGCAACACCTCCCCCTTTCAAAGGGCGAGAAGGGCAGTGGCCACGTCTTGGAGTGTCTTCGAGTGGTTGGGAGGCGCTGCCTGAGGCTCTAAGTCAGAGCCTGGGAGCCCAATGTCAAATCAGACTCAGACAAGATTATAGTAAGTATATTATACTATGCCATCGTATACTTTAAATACTACGGTATATTATAGTATATTACAGTGTAGTATTTTATAGTATATTGCAGTGTAGTATATGGTAGAATGCGAACAGCCTGTCTTACGTGCATCGCAACCACCCGGATGATTTCAGGTGTCTCGAGCTGCGTGTTCCTAGCCGAAGCCCAAGCGAGCTATTGCTTGCAGGGTCCATGATCCATGATGCTGTTTCTTGGGCACAGCTCCATTCACCAGTCGTTGGCTGCGAAGAAGAGAGCCGCCTACGTATCCAAACATGCCACATGTGCCTTATGGAGATGAGGTCCCCCCACAAGATGGCAGAATGCTCAAGATCCAACTTCGGAGGTCAGAAGCTGCACAACAGCTGCAGCACGTTCCATACAGCAGCCACCGGTGGGCGGCAGACTGCCCCAAAAAGCATGCCGACATCCACAATGCAGCTGATGGCGATTTCTGTATTGGTCTCTTCGGGCTCCGTTTCATGCAACACTGCTAGACTTGTTTGACGGGGCTCCCATTGACTTTCCGTGTCTAGGGGCTTCCGCGTTGCAGTGCA